GTTGCCTTAGTGTGGCTTCAGGTATTATACCCATAAGTGCTCTGTCTTTGGCAAGCTTATTGGTGTGTGCCCAACACTCTGCTAAGGAGGTTATGTTACTTCCAGTTTGGGAGGTTATGAACATGGAACTTGTGTATGCCTTATGGGGTGCTCTCTGGCATAGTATGTGAGTGCCATAGACATGCCCTAGGCTTGTTCAGGAATGTTGTGAACAGAAAACTTACCAATGGTGAATACAGGATAAAGATAATAAAAATATTAGTGACCCAGAAAAGACAAAGAATTCCATAAATATTTTGGTCTGTGTTTGATTATAATCTTCTATTATATGAGCGTAATGAAATATTTTGAAGTCTGTTAGCTACTAGTTAGTAGGTCAAAAAGCATCTATTAAGGACAAACATTTTAAATTAGTGAAGAGAGTTGTAAAAGAGTTGGCTGGAAAGATTCTGGCCCACTGATATTAATTAATAAATGTTGAAATACCAGAGAAATTCCAGAAGTGTTAATGCTATATCCCATTTAAAAAAAGGACAAGGACTAAAAGCCAAGAAGTTTGCCATCAGTGCTGGACAAAATAATGGAAAAGTTTGTATGTTCATAAAAAAAAAGGAAAAGAAGATAGGAATAAAATTGGCTACTTTTGGCGGTGTCATGGAAAGCAGGTGTGTTACTAGGTTGCTGAGCATCAAAGATGGACATTCCAGGATACAACTAGTGCAGTAATAACAACCAGAATTCATAAATTGTGCGTAGACATATTCCCTAAATCAGGGGTTTCAAACATACAGCCTGTAGAAGTGGGTCATCCATGAGCCTGATAAAGAGACCAGAATTAATGTTTAACCTGCTGGCTATGCCAGTACTTTTCCCGGAAGCAGTGCAGGGGTATACAAATATATGTTTACCCCCTGGCTGCTGGCCATGCCAACACCTTCCTTCTGTCCTCTCTGACTTCCTCAGCAGCAGCAGTAGTAGCAGCTGTGGTCATGGTGGTGGGGCTTCTGGCACCCCTCAGGGCACCTCAGCCAGAGCAAATGTCCCACAGGCAACTGAAAAGCAGGGAATATTCCCTGCAGATGATTTTGAGTTTGACACCCCTACCTCAAATCATTATAGTAAGAACTTGATTAGTGTATTACAGGGGTGGGCAACCTCTGGTATGGGTGCCAGAGCATGGCACGCGAAGAAATTTTGCTTGGCGCACACACCTCAGGGTGGATGGCAGGGAAGCAGCTGGGGCTGCTCTGCCACAACAAGGCTAATGGCATACTGGGTTGTATTGGTCAGTGTGTTGCCGGGTCAAGGGAAGTGATTATTCCCCTCTATTTAGCACTGGTGAGGCCACATCTGGAGTAATCTCTTCAGTTTTGAGCCCCCCACTAGAGAAAGGATGTGGACAAATTGAAGAGAGTCCAGCAGAGGGCAGTGACAATGGTGAGGGATCTGGGAACGTGACTTCTGAGGAGAGGCTGAGGGAATTGGGCTTATTTAGTCTAGAGAAGAGGAGACTGAGAGGGGACTCAATAGCAGCAATACCTGAAGCGGGTTTGAAAGAGGATGGAGCTAGACTGTTCTTAGTGGTGGCAGATGACAGAACAAGAAGCCGTGCTCTCAAGTTGCAGCAAGGGAAGTTTAGGTTAGATATTAGGAAGAATTTTCTTACTAGGAGGGTAGTTAAACACTGGAACAGGTTATCCAGAGAAGTTGTAGAGTCTCAATCCTTGGAGTTTTTTAAGACCCGGCTAGACGAATCCCTGGTGTAGCACTTTGTCTGGAAGAAATAGCCGGTCCTATTGGGCTCTATAATCTAGCAGAAAAAAGCATGACAAAAATTCATAGTAGATAGCTGAAGCCAGGCATGCTTGAATTAGAATAAAGGCACACATTTTTAACTGTTTTAGTCATTTGAACAAGCTGCTGAGGCAAATGGTGGATTCTCCGTCTTATGTTGTAGTCAAACTAAGACTTGGATGCCTTTCTGGAAGATATGTTTTAGACAGGCATAAGGTATTGGGGCTCAGTACTAGGGAGTAAAATGTCCCAGTCTGTTTATGTTTAAAAGTCAGATTAAATGAGCTAATGATTTCTTCTGGCCTTGTTCTCTCGGAGTTTGATATCACAGAGCAAAATAACAGGAGCTGCTACATTCCATAGCAGGTTGAAATGTGGAGAGACCTTAATTATGCGATGGTGAGCGATTCTCACTTATGAGGGTTGGTGTGTGATAGACGGAGCAGGGAGGGAAGTCTGTTTCAGACATGTTTATAAACTGAAACTTTGAAAGGAAAAGGATGGAGTTAGATAGCATTTCTCTGTAAACCTGAGTCCATTTCTAATGAACCTTGGTAATAAGTTCTCTTTTAGGGTTTCTAATTAACTTGAGGGTAAGCTTGTTGTGGTATTCAAGCAGTAATATATGATAATCAGAAGCTGTCAGGGATCTTAAACATTAAATATTTGAAAATATATTTCCTTCCCCTGATCTATTAGATACATCTGAAGTAAGCTTGCAACCATTGCCTGCATTCTGCTTTAAGCCCTGTTCAGATATAGCTTTGAGATTTCTTTGCCTTCAATTTTTACTTAGTATGTAGTCAGTTTGAAGCAGTGAGTTTGGTATGCAGCTTCAATATTACCTAAACTTGCCCTAAAGCTCAGGAGGAAACTGTGTCCCAAATAGCCCTCAGGAAAAAAATAATGCAGGGTAAGTGAGCTGCTCTGACTGACTTTGCCTGTTAATTCTTGAGACATTTTTGAATTGGTGCTGGAAGCCACTGTATTCTGACTGAAGATAAATAGGAGGAAATACAATTGTTTGACAAATTGATCTCTCCTGGAATGGCATGAAAATAAAGTTTTTAAAGTTAGGAAGGGTTTGAAAATAGAGTATTTTGGGCCCTATTCCAGATTCCAGTGGCAGTGCTAACTGAATGGGTTGTTCAATAAAGAATGTGTGATGACTCTTTTTGTTTGTTGGACTATAGTAGAGGAAGAATATACCACTTGTGCACCAGATTCCTTTATATGGATTCATTTTATGAGTTCTGTTGTTTTTTTTTTCTTTTTAAAAATGTACCATCATGTTCTGTGGACAAGTACAAAACAGTGTAAAACTAATGTAACAAATATTAACTGAGAAGTAGGATTTTTGTACAATACACTATTAATAAAGTCCAGTAGGCAAAAGCTTTAGAAAATAAAAGGACTGCACATCCTGTACTGGGCCAAAGGTATGCTAGAGTAGGGTGTCTCTCTCTCTCTCTCTATTGAAAACATTGTCAGTAGCCCTAGGGACATAAGCACATTAGCTGATTGTTATAGCGACATGTAACAAAAGAACTGACTGTGAGTGCTTCAGACCCAAACCATGGACAATTTCAGAAAGAACTCTTCACTTGTTGTGCACCTGCAAGTGAATGGGAAGTTAGTATGGTCTTTGGCTTACTGATGTACAGTGTGCAGTCTTCCTGCTACCTGAGCAGCCCAAGCCCCTCTCTACTGCTACCACCACATGGAAAATCCCCACATTGCTGCTGCCACGTGGGCAGTGTGAGCTGCCCCCCCCCCCCCAAGATCCTCTGCCACTACTGCTATGTGGGCAATTTCCACTCCCCCCAATGTTGCCATGTGGGCAACATGAGGCTCTTGCTGTATGAGCCCTCTTGCTGCCTTTATGATGTGGCTGTTCTCCCTTTTTCCTCCCCTGCTGCAGTGTGAGCCTTGTTGCTGGTGTTGTTGTACAGGTAATGAGCTCACTGGGCCAGCTGTGCTGCTGTGCCCCAGAGGCCCTGTCTATTGCTACTGTAAGAGCTGGAGCAACAGGCAGAGCAGCCAAGTGGGGGCTGCACGTTATCCCCTCATGGGCTGCATCAGACTGTAGGCCACCAGTTGTACAGCCTTGCTCTAACCTGAGCCTCAGCAAAACAAAGAGCACAGACATTCTGTTTCACTGAGAAAGTTCACGTTCACCATTGTACATATGGCAGTTCACTTTCCACCAGAAGCTTCCCAGATTTTGAAAACAACAAGGATAGAGTAGAACCCTGTAGAATCCCATAAAAAGATGTTGCCTTTGGGAAAACTACTAACCACCACCACCACCCGGAACAACTGTGATCCTGCTTGTTCAAGCTACCTTTCTTTCAAGACATCAGTAGGTTGGCATCAGTATTATCAAAGGCTGCTGCTGGATCCAAAAGAATCAAGCATGGACGCATCAGTACCCATCATTAGAAAGCAGTCAAAGAGTGAAGTCTGCTCTGTATCCAGATCAGAAACCAGGATTTATAATTTGCATTAAATCAATTTTGCAATTTAAGATATTTGATTTTTTTGTATATTTAAATAATTCATCATTTACAGGCATACCTCGTTTTATTGCGCTTTGCTTTATTGTGCTTCGCAGATATTGCGTTTTTTACAAATTGAAGGTTTGTGGCAACCTTCATTGTTGCCTTATTTTAAGAAATTGCCACAGCCACCCCAACCTTCAGCAGCCACCACCCTGATCAGTCAGCAGCCATCAGCATCGAGGCAAGACCCTCCACCAGCAAAAAGATTACGACTCGCTGAAGGCTCAGATGATGGTTAGCATTTTTTAGCAATAAAGTATTTTTTAATTAAGGTATGTACATTGTTTTTTTAGACATAATGCTATTGCACACTTAATAGACTACAGTATAGTGTAAACATAACTTTTATATGCACTGGGAAACCAAAAAATTTGTGTGACTCGCTTTATTGCGATATTTGCTTTATTGCGGTGGTCTGGAACCGAACCCGCAATATTTCCGAGGTATGCCTGTATTTGTATAAGGGAGATATTTTGCAGATCTTTACAGTATGTCTTGATTTTTATCACAGTGATTCTGATTACAAAGTAAAACTTCGTTGTGGCATTTTGAGCAACTTATAAGATATATTCCAGTTGACTTTTCTAAACTTTTAGTTGAACTGCTTGTCATCTAAGTGTATGTATTTCTTACTTTGATTTAAAGTCAAGAAAGAAGAGAGGAAAAGACACAAGTCTTCCTCCTCATCCAGCGATTCCGACAGTTCAAGTGATTCAGAATCTTCCTCTGATTCATCATCTGACTCTGAAACAGCTTCTGAAGAAAAACCTAAGAAAAGAAAAAAGAAACACAAGAAAAATTCTAGAAAGCATAAGAAGGAAAAGAAAAAGAGAAAGAAAAGCAAGAAAAGGTCATTTTTTAAAAGATACATGCTATTCTGAAAGGCTTTTTTTGGTCAAAAATTTAATGTAATGCTGGGTTAGTGTATGAGCCATAGGAAAAAATGAAGGAGGGGGTCTGACAATATCTTTTATTAGGCCCAATGTAAATGACATTTTCTGTGACCCACTTTCTTGTCTTGGTTTATGTCATAGGAAGAACTGCTTGGTCAATAAGATTTTATTAATTCTTGCGTGTGTAGAATATTATTCTCTTATTCTATATTAAGCTGAACTAGTGTCAGTTAAGTGTGGGTAGTAGTTTGCAGAACCTCCTGTTTGTATCTCTGCCTCTTGTCTTTTTTAAACGGACTTAAATTTTCCAGTTTTGCAATAATGTCCAACACCAATATGCATACCAGGAACCATGTGTACAGATGTGTCTTGAGATTTTCATATTGTATGCTTGTAAAGGTGCAGGAAGTTATTTAATACCCTGCAACATATCTGTATTTGTTTAGTTATGCACAGTGAGGCTTTGCCAGTATCTGTTGAAGAGCTGAGGGCCACGTACAGGTGTTATGTTTCTATCAGAAGAACCACCACTTTACTGGTAGAAACTGTGAGTGTACAAGTGTTTGCTCAGTTTCTTCAAGGGGAAACATGCCCTCTCTGGGAGAAAGATCTTCTAGGTATCAATCCGGAAGATCCTTCCTGTGAGAGAGAGAATCCATACCTGCCTACAGGCAGTCCTTAACTTACGATGTTTCAAGTTCCAACGAACGGCACTTACAAACTTTATAAATTTACACCTTGTTTCGAGGTTCCGACGTGGGTTTTGACTTTACAACACACGACATAGCTGCCTCCAGGTGGTAAGTCCTTTGTGGTGGCAGGGACGGTGGGGAGGGAAGAGGCGTTGGGGGGGCAGATCAATGCCCCTGCAGCAAGGGAGGAGCTGGGGCTGGGACAGAGGCTGGGGCAAAAGCTGCCCAACCGGGGCGGGGGGACATGGAGAGGGGGTGGGGCAGCTCCTACCACTTCATACCACTGACCCGGGAGCAGCCTGTCCAGCGTTTCTCGTTGCTGCTCCTACCGCCAGTACAGGAGGGCATGAGGGGGATGTGTGCCCCTGGATATGTGCCAGGCAGGCGGGGCTGGGGCTGTGCCAGGTGGGCGGCAGAAGGCGTTGGGAGCAGGGTCTGTGCCCTCCTGCCGTTCGCCCAGCCGGGGTGGGGCGAAGCTGCTGCGCTGCCTCTGGATAAGTGGTGCACGACAATGGGAGCTACCCGGGACTATCAGTGGCTTCATTCAGTGCCCCACTGGCCCGCCCTGCCTGGGCTAGCGGTGGCAGGGTGTGGGGTGTGCTCCTGGATTGGGGTGGGGTGGGTGGTTAAGTGGAGGCTATGTGGGGGCTTCAGCCACCCTAAAATTCACCATAGCCCCTGCCGCCTGGCTGGAGTGCAGCCTGGCGCAGCCCCAGCCCCACCTGCCCTGATCTGGGGGTACATGCCTCCCCGCCCCCCCATGCCCTGCTGCCACTCGCCCAGCCTGGGGGGGCGAGGGGAGTGTGGGACAAAGCTGTTGCTCATCCAGGAGGCGTGGAGAGCCCGGGGCAGCTCTCGCTGCAGTACGCCACTTGTCTGGAGGCAGCGCAGTGGCTCTGCCCCACCCTGGCTGGGCAGGTGGCGGCAGGGCATAGCCTCTGCTCCCACGGCATCCACTGGTGCCTGGAGCACAGCCCGGGCCCCACCCACCCCCTGCAGATCTTGGGACACATGCCCCCATGCCCTCGTGGACAGGCTGCGGGAGCAGCAGCGAGCTGCTGGATGAGCTGCTCCCAGACTGGCGGTGCACAGTGCTGGGCGCCACCTCACTCCTCCCCACCCCCCTCCAGCTGGGCAGCTTTTGCCTCAGCCCCTGTCCCAGCTCCAGCACCAATCAATTCCTCATTGTTGGGGGGTTGATCTGCCCCCCATACCTCCTCCCCCCACCACAAGGGACGTACCAGCTGGAAGCAGCTTTGTTGAGTGTCATAATGGAACCAATCCCCCTTTTATAATATTGTTCCTATGGGAAAATTGGTTCCAAGTTGCAACGTTTCGACTTATGATGAAGTTTTCAGGAACCAATTGCGTTATAAGTCTGAGGACTGCCTGTATATGCTTTCCTTGTGGTCTGCTCCCTGTGCTTCCCTAGATTGGGGACTGCCCAGTTGGGGCAATGGGTCAGGGGCATTGCCTTGCTGCTCCAGTCCCCTTCCGGACTAGTCTGGAAGAAGACTGAATCAGTGGGGCAAAGCTCTTTGCTTGCTTCCAGACCAGGACCCGATCTGGGGAGTAGGCAGGTGTCTTGCTCCACTGCTTCCTCTGCTCCGAGCCACCAGAATCAGCAGAGGAGCAGCCAGTCTTTGCTCCTAGACCAGGGACTGCCCTCTAGGTTGCAATAGGAAGCAGGCTCAGGTACATGTTTCCCCAGGCCTAGTGTGTCACCCCGTTTTCTCCACCTGCTTTGAAATCACTGTCTGCATTGGACATCTGGGTTTCAGAGTCAGAGGGGCTGGGAAAGCTCTCCGCTCCCTGGTTTCTAGCTCCTCCCACCCAGTTCTCCACCTCTAGCTTTTTTAAATCACTGCACATGCTGCCTAGCTTGGTTTCAAAGCTAGGGGTTGGAAAAGCTCTTCTCACAGGATTGAAATGCTTCCTGTACTACCCAGCTGAGCAGCACATGCAGTGATTTCAAAGCCCATGGGGACCTGGGATTGGGAAAGCACTCCCTGTCACAGTTCCTGGCCCTGCAACCTTTAAATGCCACCCACATCACCCAGCTAGGGAACATAGGAAGTAGTTTGGAAGCCCACAGGGTCAGAAACATCCTTGCCATGGTTGCCAGCCCTACGAGGTTTAAATGCCTCCCATGCTGTGCCACTCAGCTGGACAGGTGCCTGTGCAGCCCATCTGGACTGCACAGGCAGCAAATTACAAGCTGTGGGGGCTGCCTATTGTGTCAGCATGGGAGAGGACAAGCTATCAAGTAATAGGCTCCCCTAAGAGCAGGTGTGGCCCAGGGAGCAGCCCTCTATTGCAGTGTTTCTCAACCTGTGGGTTGCTACCCCCAAAAGTGGGTTGCAAGAATATATTCAAAGGTTGTGAACGAACTTTAAAAATGGGTTCTCCTTTAAAGGAGAAGAATGGAAACCATGGCTGCTTCCCTGCAGGCTAGCAGAGTTCCAGCCTGCATGGGGCTGCTTGGGGTCCCCCTTGCCCCACACACAGACCCCCCTGCCCCACACACTGGGGGGAGCTGGGCACAGTGGGTCAGGAGTGAGGGGCACTGAGTTGGGACTGACCATTGATATTTACAAATGGGTCCTGGTACAAAAAAGATTGAGAACCACTGCTCTAGTGGCTCCTGACTGGAGAGCTCGCCTATGTAGCACTCCAGCTAGGGGCTGAAATCCAGGCATGGGCTTGCTCTCTGCCTGTTTATTCACTGTCTGTGGCCTCTTAAGTCTAAAAAGGAACAGAATTAGAATTCAAAGAAATACATTACTATGTTACTGTACTGGCTCTTAACTTTTAGCATTCTGAGAATGCTAAATGCCAACATTAACCCTGTTTGGTGTACTTAGTAGTGTTTTCAAAAAACATCATTGAATTCAGGATTCTAAGTCACATGGTTGCTTTTGAATATGTTACCTTTTAATGTGCTATAGTTCTGCCGTGAAAAATTTGGAGTTGTTAAAATCATATTTTCTTTCAACACAAGTACTAAAATGTAATAAAATCATCAATTAAGGTAGGACTATCTGATTCATCCATCTTACTATTCAAATGCTCAGAATTTTGTTCTAAAACAAGTTTCCCTTTGATTTTAATGAATAATAAAATGCAGAGAACTCCTACAGTTCCTCATGTTTACCATCAAATGGGCAATCTGAACATCACCATTTTGATACAAAGTTTCTGAACAGTATCTAACAAAACACCATACACACATTCAACATGTCACTACATAAATTATTCAATTAAGGAGTTTTGTGGGTGATACTTTTTATTGGACAAACTGCATGGTTGAGATAAAGCCAGGCAAACTTTTGAATACAAGGCATTTTAATCAGATCTGATGGTGAATGACCTGATGAAGAATGCCTTGTATTTGAAATTTTGTCTCACTTTATTCCAACCCTGCAGTTCATCCAATAAAAAGATATCACCCACAAGAATCCTTCTCTCTTATACAATTCCTGGACCATCATAGCTACAAAATCAGTCCAATACTACCACTGCATAAACTAAGAATTCAGTGATTAAAAAGCAATATGTAATGGTGGTTAAATATGCATTATGCCCATACATCCCTGAGTGAAGGCGTCATGATAACAAGATAGCTGTTTATTTTTTTAAACTTCATCAATTTGTTTTCTGCACCAGAGTGAAAAAGAAGTCTATTTAATATAATCTGCAATAATTAGTCTTCTAAATTTATTTCTCTGTTGCTTGTATAAATACTTTCCAAAATACTTAAGTGTGGACAGGTTGAGAGGCCTGCCCTGGAAAACCTTAACTTAAAATGCACGACTATTTTAAACCTATATATTTATAAGCATATTTTTATCCATAAATAAAGCTCCTCC